ACATCCCAAAGCACTTTACAAACAATAATTCTTTTAAGAGTTGTCACTGTGGTAACTGGGAGAAATCGGAAGTAATTATGCACAGCAAGGTCTCATAAACAATAATTAAATCATTGGTTTGGGATAGATGTTGATCTGTTCTCCTCTGAACAGTACCATACGATCTAATACAACTCTATAAAAAGTTGGAGCATTAATTTAATGTCTTGTCCAAGAGACAGCACTGAATTATCAGCCTAGATTATGTGGGCAAGTCAGCTAAATAAGATGTGATCCAAAAATGTTTTTACTCAGAGGTAGGAGAGTAGGATTGAGTTATAGAATCACAGAATCCCTACAATGTGCAAGCTGGCCATTCGGCCCATTGAGTCCACATCGACCCTCTGAAGAGCATCCCACCCCTCTACCTTATCCCTGTAACTCCACATTTTCCATGGCCAATCCACGTAACCAACACATCTTTGGACTGAGGGAGGAAACCAGAGCACACGGTGGAAATCACCGCAGTGATTTCAGACAGACATGTGGAGAATGTGCAAACTGCACACACACAATTGCCTGAGGATGGAATCGAACCCAGGTCTCTGGCGCTGTGAGGCAGTAGTGCTAACCACCGCACCACTGTTACGCCCGATTAATTATTTTTCAACACTTAATCATTTTCACATGATGAAACATGTGAGCAAGTATATTATGTTCTGTTTAATTGTAGCTAGTTGTAAAAAAATTCTGTAATGAAAAATGCTACATGGTCAAAAGTAAGGTCATGGGTTGATGCCTGCTTTTATGGCTCAAGCTGATGTTAACGTGATGGGCTACAAATATGAAAATACTTTTGAAGAGAACAAAGTTTTTAATCAGGATACACCTCTGTGTGTTTTAATTGCTCCAGTCTTGTAACATAAAAGGAGGTAACAAACCTATGTATATTAGATTTGTAGGTTAATTTGAGCTTTAACTGTTTTGGGCATCAACTGTTGCTGTCTAGTCATACATGGTTCGTTTAGTTCAAGGACTTTGATAGGTTCTGGAGAACATTCACAAGTGTCAGCTGGGATGATATTAGATCATTAGACAGTAACGCCAAACTTTTAAGCACTTAGATACATGGACTTTATGGTGCTATTTTGTCATGGAAAATGTCTATGGAGTCAGTACGCTATGAGAGAGAAGCTATAACAAAAAGAATGGTCTTACAAATGAATTGACATGTCAAAGAATAGATCAGGTAACAATCGGAAATGATTTAATGAGACAACCATTCCTTTTAAATAAACCAAGTTGGAATTGGATAGATACTGCATAATCAATCCAATATTGACAATTAATTGTTTACACTATTATAAGCCAGTTAGAGTTCTGGATACCTATGATCATGCAGCAGGTAGTGGCTAGTGGGTTAATTAGTGATGATTCTTCGTGACTCAGTATACAAGAAAGGAAAACTGAAGACAGAAGAACATGTTCAGTCAAGAGAAGAGAACAAGACGCCTGTGCCAGTAAACTAGTATCACAAACTGGCATCATGAAGTGGGTCAACGTAAAAACTAATAACTCATATCCTCCCACCTCACTGACCAACCCCCACCCCCACTTCCTACCTACCAGCCTCATCCCCACCTCCTTGACCTGTCCATCTTCCCTCCCACCTACCCACCTCTCCTTCCCAACTGACCAACCCCCACCCTAACTCCCCACCTACACTCATCTTTACTGGCTCCAACCCCGCCTCCTTGACCTGTCCGTCTTCTCTCTACCTATCTGCTCCTCTATCCACCTTCCATCATCTGCTCCCCACTCTCTATTTATTTCAGAGTCCCCTTCCCCTCCCCCATTTCTGAAGAAGTGTCCAGACCCGAAACGTCAGCTTTCCTGCTCCTCTGATGCTGCCTGGCCTGCTGTATTCATCCAGCTCTACACCTTGTTAGCTCATATCTTTTATACTTGTTATGAAAAATGTAATTAACTCTGCAAAACTTGAGAAACATATTTGTCCCTGGACTGGACCTTGCACCTAAACAGGATTCAAAACTTTTCACTGATTATCTCAACTCAATGGCATTTGTGCAATAGTTAGAGATAACCTTTGTTCAGGAGATCAAACATGTAGAGTCAGTTTGAATAGAGATGAGGAATAGTAGGGGAAAGACGTCACTACGGGGGTGGGTAGCTGACAGGCACCCCAACAGGAAAAACAATGTGGGACAAAGTACACAAGGTGAAAAACTGGTTCCTAATGATAAAGGGACAGCAATAATTATGAGTGACGTTGACCTACAAAGAAACTGGAAAAATCCATTTCGCAGTAGTAGCCTGGAAGAGGAGTTCATAGAATGCTTTACATTCTGGAATTGAACAGAATGGAGACCATATTAGACTTGATGTAATGTAACATGACAGGATTAATTGTTGACTTTGGAGTTACGGCACCCTCCAGATAGCAATGACCAGAATACAACTGCATTCTGCAGCCAGCTTGAAAGGGAGACAATTGGGTGTAAAATTAGCATTTTAAACCTAAACCATAGGCGTGAAACCTGAGCTAAACAGTGAACAGACATACGAGGCTAGGTAATGCAGGGAGATCAATAGAGTCACAGTGTGCTGAGATTTAAGGAGAATATTCAGAATAAGTATATTCCTGCTAAAAAGAAAAATTCTAAAAGGGGGGGCCCACCATGCTTGGCTACCTCAGTAAGATAGAGAATGCACCAGAGTAAAGGAAAAACAAGTGGTGAGTCAAAATATAAGGAACAGCTGAAAATGACTAAAGGATTAATCAGGAGGAAGAAATTAGATGATGATGAGAGGAAGTTGGTGAGGAATGTAAAAACAGATAGCAAGAGTTTCAACCCTTCAACAGGAAAAAAATAAATAAAATGACACTTAATGGCATTATCATCACTGAATTCTCCAGTATCAAACATCCTAAGCATTGCCATTGACCAGAAATTGAACTGGAGTAACCATATTAATAACATGGTTACAGACAGTCTGAAGCTTAGAATTCTGTTATTCAATATCATGACTTGTTGGTGGACTCCCCAACACGAGTCCACCACCTACAAAGCACAAGTTGGGAGTGTGTTGGAATACTATCCACTCGTCTGATTACTGTAGCTCCAAAGACATTCACGGAGGTTCTAGAAGGAAGCAGTCTGTTTGATCGGCACCTCAGTCATCATCTTCAACATTCAATCCCTCCACCACTGGTGCACAGTTGCAGTAATATACCATACACAGGATGCACTGCAGCAACTTAGCAAGGTTCCTTCAATGGGACCTGCCAAACCTACAATCTCAACCACTTAGAAGGACAATAGCAGCATTTCCATTATTACCTGACTTCAGGACTATATCTCTGTTCGTTCACTGTCACTGGGTCAAAATCCTTGAACTCTCTCCAAGTCCATCTGGTGTTGGTACACTGATAGTGCTGTTAGGGAGGGAGTCACTCATCCAGAATCGCTCACCACCACTACCTTTTCAAGGGCAATTCTGGATGAGCGACAAATGATACCCTGACACCCCAGAAAGATTAAAAATGGGTCCAAATCCCATGTGGCCAACGATCCTGATGTTGCTGTACCCAGCTCGTTACCTATCAATTCTCTCCAGCCTGGTATAAATTACATTGTTTGCATGAATTAGTGGTCACTGAGTCCATCCCTCATGTATTAAAGGTGTATTGCTTTGAAAGGGTTGCAATTGACAATAGTGGTCTTTTAAAGCCTTGAATACTCAATGGCAGGGAGGGTGTGGGAAGGGGGTTGCATGTGCGTGCGGAGTTTACAGAGGCTAAGAACAAAGAGGGTAGCCAGATACTGAAAAGCAGAAGCAATGAACCCCAAATTGTAAAAAGGTTATCCTGAACACGTTCCTGTTTCGGATACAGCAAACAGATGGAGGAATGCTGCGGCCATTGAAGACGATATCTCAGAAAAATACACAGGATACCACAAGAAGGGAAGATTCAGCACTGCATTCGCCCAGAACTCCAGACCAGGACTAGAAAACTGACCTGACAAAAACAGGCAAGATAAACAGGATGGCAATAGCTCAGTGGTTAGCACTGCTGCCTCACAGTGCCAGGGAGCTGGGTTTGATTCCTCAGTAAGACTGAGAAGTTTTACTGAGCTTGCATGTTCTCCTCGTGTCTGTGTGGGTTTCCTCCAGGTGCAACGATTGCCTGCCACAGTCCAAAGTTGTGCAACTAAGGTAGACTGGCCATGCTAAATTGCTCATTATGTCCAGTGATGGGCAGGTCAGGTGGATTAGCCATGGGAAATACAAGGTTTGGATAGGGGGTGCGGGTCTGGGTGGGATGCGCTTCAGAGGGTCCCTGTGGACTCGATGGGCCAAATGGCCTGCTTCCACACTGTAGAGATTCTGTGATTCGATAAAACAGTAGCCACTCACTCTTTCTTCATGGGTGCCAGCAACAATAACTTCAAAATAATTGCTGCACACTTAATTTATCACATTGCACTGGCATTAATTATGAACCTTACAATATATGTTGCAGTTCCCTTGACAGGAATTACTTGAAGAAGATACTTTTCTCATTCCCACCTGGCATTCAATAGACACCTGCTACAACTCACTCTGAATACAAAACAAAACACAATACTAGAAAATCTCTTCACTAAGTCAAAATATTTCTCTTCAAATACTTCAAAGAAAAACCCTTCAGGTAGCACAACTGAATTTGCCAACAGGAATGCCTCTTTTTCTTTCATTTTAAGTTATTCACCGTATATAATGGCATTAAACATGAGGCATTAACCACTCTACATCCATCAGCCATGTATTATTCTTATTCTCACTTATTCCAGAAGCTCCAAGCAACACTGAATGTCTGTTCTGGGAAATGGCAGTGCAGGTACTATGACTGGAAAAAGGATCCACAAATTTGTAAACCTCAAAAAAAAAGATTGATATTTAAACACCAAAAGCAATCAGGAGTTTCCCTCCATTATTCAGTGTTTACTGTTTCTTACCTTGTACATTAGATGCTTCACTGTAAGCATTCCTCCTTATATTTGTCGGCTCATCCGTAATCTGCGCACTGGGGGCTCCATCCTGTTCTTCAGTTGTAATAATCTCTAGGGCTCCAAACTCATTCATTTGAAACTGATAAGAAAATTGAAGATTTACTACTATTTCCATATATAAAACAACACTTTTCAGCTGGCAACCTAACAAACAAAAACAGCAATACATCAAAACAGTTCTTGAGATGGGAAAGTGCTGGCATGAGTTCACTTAAATTTAATGCTTGAACACTGAAAGGACAATATTTTATTATACAGCGAACAGGAGAAAAATGATAAATGTACACGATGACTTGTGTCTGCAGCAATACAAATTTACCATACTTAGGCTAAATTCAATATTGTCTTTACCCAAGAGTAGATTGCACAAGTAATGTTCATTCTCAAAAAAGGGATGTAACCATCAACCAACCTTGGAAATAAATTATAACCTATACCAAGAAAATTTTATTCTGATTTTAAGGTTACTCTATTATGCAAGTCCTATCCAAATCCCATACTAATGGTGGACTAAGCAGCTGGTGATTTATTTCAAACGTCTGTCCTTATATTCCGTCTGTGACAAAAGCACAGACTGCCTCAACTTTGCAATTTTCCATCTCATCTCTCTTAAAGTATATTTTATCACACCTCGGTGCTAACCAGAAAGATTAAGAAACTCAAAGTGTGAGGGATAACCTAGTCAAGAACTTCTGCTTTGGTGAAAACATGATTAGGCACCAATGATAAGTGCTCCATGCAGAGAAACTCAACAAATATCAGGGGAACAGGCCTCAAATAAACATTGTAAGATGTGAACGACAATCAATACATATTACCTCTGGGTTTCTGGTCTGAGAGAATTCTTTGACGTGATTGGCAGTTTATGCTGTGAGATTACATCATTTTTACTGGGTGCCTGAAGATCCACTCAGGCTGATACCAGAATGAAATTAACAACAGTGCAGAAGAAAACCACCACATGTACCTTGTATCTGTGTGGGCATCTTTCCCTCGAGGTCAGTGAGAAACACTGTTATTTTACCATTGCCTGCAAGTGCTGTGATATCAAGAATTATATTTTTACAAAATTTTGCTTGCATGTCCCAAAGGAATACTTGATACCAATCAAATCCTGTGCTTTTTGTAAGATATAAAAGTGCGAAGGATGAAGAAAATGTAGCAGCTGCGTCCAATGATCGAGAATTCCTGAACCAGGAGTGTTGGGAGTCATTAATGCAAAAAATTGGTTTGGAACTCTTTTCCACAAGCAGCAAATCGATGCTAAGCCAATTCATTTTAAATCTGGAATTGAAAGTTATTCATTTTCCAAGTGTTTTGAATGACATGTGGGAAAGGCATGCATACGGAAGTAGGATGCAGACCGACTGAAAGAAACAAACTTGCATTTTTGCCCCAATTTTACAGTCAATGTAGGTGGTGGTGGTGGCTTGATTCATTCAGTTGGCTGGAAGGCTGCTTTGCAATGCAGAGCGCTAGCAGCAGCGTGGGTTTAGTTCCCGCATCAGCTCTGGTATGAAGGACTCTACTTCTCAACCATTCCCCTTGCCTGAGGCATGGTGACCCTCAGGTTAAACTGCCACTGGTCGTCTCTCTCTAATGAGAGAACAGCCCTATGATTTGCTAAGACTGTGGCGAGTTCACCTTTACAGTCGGTGGAAGTACTTTCGAAGTGCAGTCAATCTGTGCATAGCATAGTCCCACAAACAGAAGTGACCAGACAATTCGCTTTGAATTGAAGAAATGTGAAGTAATCACTCAGAAATTGGATTTGATGCATGACTAGTAAATCTCCTATTGAATTTCACAGAGTCAATTGAAAATTACTGTTACATCAGATTCCACCGTCTTCCTGTTGCTACTTCTGTTCTCCTCTTTGGGTGGATGTATGGCAGTGGATAGCATTTCGAATGAGATTTGCAGGAAAAACATAGCCCATAGTTGCCTCCAATTCAACTTTAATTTCCAATTATTCATGCCTCCAATGTTCCCACTTTTGTCCTCTCCCTGTCCCTTTCCTGCCATCCCTTCATTCTTCTTACACTTTCAACTACATAATGGGATCCCCACTTTCTCCTTGCTTTGTTGCTGTTCTCCTCACCGTTAATTCGCCAACCATTCCCCTGCACGGTACCCATTTCATCTCAAATGACAAATTCAGTGAATGCAAAGCCAGCAGTCCCTGCACCCTCAAATATTCTCCTTTCCTATGTGTTTACCTCAAAAGGGCCTTGTTTGCTTTTAAATTCAATTCTTTTCAAAGCGAAAATAGATCATAATTATGAAATAAACTATATGTTATTATTTATAGCTTTCTCCCTCTGTCTCAGAGATATTAGAATCCAAGTCTTGTGTGATAGGAATTAAATATTTATATTTTCTAATATTAAACAAAAAAGAGAAACAAGATAAATAGTTGACTTTTAAGTTCATCAGGTAATTTTTTTGCGAACCACACAATTACCAATAAATGAAGATGCATTGGCACAAAATTCCATACCCTTTCCTAAGTTTCTGCAATTTCAATGGGAATTCAATGGCACAGTTGATACCTAGGTCAAGGCAATAGATACACCAGTTCATGGTTCTGCTCTGCAGTGACTGGGATGTTCTTGTGAAACCAAATAGACTACTGGCAAAAGGGAAAGACCCAGAGCCGACCATTCTCAGATTAGAATCAGCAATGACAAACCTGGGCAGATTAGTCATATCTCACCAATAAGTAGCTCAGATTTTAATCTTAATTAGAAACAGCAGCACAAGAAACATCTTATGATTAGCTTATGATTTTTTTCTGAAGAAGGGTCCAGACCCGAAACGTCAGCTTTCCTGCTCCTCTGATGCTGCTTGGCCTGCTGTGTTCATCCAGCTCTACATCTTGTTATCTCAGATTCTCCAGCATCGGCAGTTCCCACTATTTCTTATGATTAGCTTTGAGCTTTGGCTGAAATTGAGAGATCCTTTGCCTTGCAGTCAGCCTAGACATGTCCCTGGTGGGTACACTTGCCATACACTTGCCATTGTTAGGCAAGGTACACTTGCCATACACTTGCCATTGTTAGGCAAATGAGGGATCTTTCCCTGAAAGTTAATGACATAGCCCAGCACAAATTTCAAAACCACTCTCCCATTTCTGCCTCTTCCATTTTCTCTAGCCCAAGTCTTTTCAATGCCTTCCTTGGTTTAAAACATTTTTACCAATTATTGGAAACAAAATCGAAAGGTATATGTGCAATCAGAACACTGTCACTATCCCTCATTCTCACACACAGCCCATCAATATCGAAACACTCAATAAAAAGTTTACATGAAAAAACTACCTCAATGTCTTCTTTCTTTTAAAACCATTAGAAAGAAACTAGTGTGGAAAATGCCAGAAACAGAACAAAATACTCAAATTAGAGCGATTAACTCAATGGTCTGGATTGATAAATCATGAAACCAAGTACAATGCATATGCTTAAACTACAAAGGCTATTTTCAGCTCACATAGACCTCAGTAAACATATCAAGTTGAAAAATCCAGGTTTCTGGAAAGATGCTGTGGCCTTCATGTAAAAACATTAACCAGGTGTTAAAGAACACAAAATACATTTCAATGGATTTTTTTTTGGGGGGGGTAATGTATTTATTTACTCAGCATAAACCTTTATTTCGCAATTGCTGTTGTTGAGAACAAAAGGCCAATTGAAAAAATTGCAGAAAACACTTGAGAAATATGCAAGGACGCAGTGACCAGACTCTACAGTGTACAGTCAGTTCTGTGATAACGCATGTTCCAACACCGCGAATTGGCTATAACGCAACTGACGAATAGGGGAACGCTTTTTCTAGAACGCGAACTTGTGTTGACTACACCGCGATTCCATTGGTACGCGGCAGAGTAATCATCAACATCATATGATCATTTTGCGTGCTTTGTCATCAAGTGCTTTTCTGTGAGACATGCAGTACAACCTCCCCATCCCCATCATCCTGACATTTTTTCAAGGTAAGGTGTTAAATATACTTTTATTTCATTATTAGATTTGAATTAAACATTTATTCAAATTGTGCTATTTTTTGTGTTAGGCTTTTGAGTGATTTCTGAGCAATTTTAAGTGATTTATTTTCGTGGTCAGCCCCTAACCCCACTTTTCCCTTCAGCCCCGTTATTTCTATAGCACAATTTTCTATAACACGATGTTGCACAGGAATGCTACTCGCGTTATTGCAGAACTGACCGCAATCCCTTAACATAAGCACAACCCTTTCCAAATTTTAACATATATGTATAATGGGCAAAAGTTGATATCAAGCTGTAAAGATAGACATTCAGTTATTTTGTGGATGAATTTGTCCTAAGGACATATAAAAATATACAATGAAGAAGCCAACTAACCCACCAAAATTCCAAAAATCATTTGCACTATCAATTAAGTCTCCATAACTTGCAGAAAGAGTATAATTTTTCAACATTTAGAGTTAAGACACAGAAACACTTATGTACAGTAATTCTGTGGTAAATCCTGCATTCCCAAGTAGAGCTGACAAACAGCAGACAGACAGAGCTATAATATCACACCACTGAATCTCTAACGTGCATTTCATCTAAATGCAGCTTCCCAGTGGGTGTGCAGAATTGGTGAATCTTCCCTTCCCACAATCAACAGTAAATGAGTGCCAATTCTCATCCACTGTTCTAAAATCCATCAGGACAAGAAACTAATTTATCATTAGTTGATGCAGAGGCACAACACGAACAATATTTCAGGTTCAGAATTATTATTAGACCACCAATTAAAATGGAAATTTGCGTTTTATAGCAATTGTGCTCGCTATAAAAATTACATTAAGGCTACAGTTTATTAGGATTGAACAGGATGAGGGACAGAAAACATGATGGCAGGACTGCTTCATTCCACAGAGTGGCATAGACACAACGGCAAATTGCACCTTACCTGATGTACAGCAAACAAGGAGGAATGACAGAAAACAATCATGGACATTACGGGATACAATATGAAGCAGTGCAAGATCATGGACAAAAACACATCCCTCCCTGACGCGCTCAATGGTTTCAATGCTTGGTTTGAGCAG